GGCGAGAGCAGGTCTGGGCCAGAAGGCAGGGGGACCCCCGAGGCCAGGGCCCGGCCGGCCAGCCTCCCCTCCCGCGAGCTTCCTCAGCTTCCTGGGCGCCAAGAACCCGGCTGACCCGAGGAGAGGGGAACTCCGTCCCCGGCAGCCGCTCGTCCCTTTTGCCAGGGCCAGTCAGGGACGGATTCGGGGTGGCCGTTCCCACTCCTGTGGGAGCCCCTAAACTGCCAGGCGTCTTGGCGCTCCCGGGGTTCGCGGCCGGTGGAGGAGCCCAGATGGGCCTGGAGCCGCGGTCGAGGCTGGGTGCCGGCGCTCCGGGGTCTGCTGGGTAGAGCTGACCTAGCGCGGGGGAGGCTGCTGACCCGGCGAAGGGCCGGCGTGGCGCTGGGAAGGGGGAAGGGGCTGGCGGTGGAGCCCCTCCTGGGGCTGCTGGAGCGCCAGGACACCATGCTGGCTCTTGCTTGGAGGAGCAGGGTGTGGAGGGGAGGAGGGCAACGGTGAAAGCGCCGAAACGGAGCGGTTTGACGTGCTCTTGGATGGGCTCTACCCAAGCTCCATCCTCACCAATGCCTCAAAGACCACCTTGGGGTCACTCTTGTCCCCACTTCCCGGTTTGGATAAGCCGACTCTTGGGTGGCTTGACTCAGGTTCACCCTGAATGTAAGAGAGAGTAGCCCCTTTCTAGGTCCACCTGGCCTTGTAAGGTGAGTGATTCTGGTGTCCCATTAGTGTCTTAGACAGACTGACAGCCGCAGAGCCCACCCCCACCCCCGGTGCAGGAATGAGCACGTTGTGTGCTCCACCGCTGCCTGCTATGTACCCCACCTTCCCCAAAGTGGAGACCCGGGGGCCTGGGCTGGGCTGCTGGGGGGGGGGCGTGGCCCACAGGGCCCTGCCCTTCCCCCCACCCCCCACCAGTATGGTGACCTGCTGCCTCCTGGACTTCCCCGGGCCTCCACACATCCTGCCACCTCCCTGCTGGCCCTTCCTGTCATCAGCAGCCTCCCCTTGGGCCGGGAGCAAAGGGGAGGGGGGAGCTGTAGAGGTGGGGTTGAGCCAGGGGGCAGACGTGGTTATCCTGACCACTGGGTATCTCCTGGGCCCCTGTCTGAGTGATCTCACCAGAGTTAAGCCTTTCTGGGGATTGGTGCTGCTGACCCCATGAGCAGATGAGGACCCTGAGGCAGAGGGAGCGGTGGAGTCATGTAGGTGGGGTCTCCCAGTTAGACCCTGCCTGGACCAGACTTTGTATCCAGGTCCAACCTGGCTTTCGCTCCTTGGGGAGATAAGAAATGTACACACAGTTGCCTGCCTGGGGTCAGCAGATGCCGGGCATGGCTGAGGCTGATGGGAGCAGCTTGAGGGGGCAGCTGGGAGGAGGGGCAGCCCATCCCTGCTGGAGGTGACATCAGGGAAGAGGCAGTGTGGACAAAGGCTGGGGTTGAGAGAGGGGTTCTGGGAAAGAGAGCCTCAGAGACCAGAAGAGCCCTTTAGAATTTTTGGGGGGGAAAGGGGGACCCTCAAGTGGTTTTAGAAGCAGGTAGGCACGCCCTGATCACCGTTTCTTGTTTGGGGGGAT